CATAACATACGCGCTATTTCATACACGATCGTGTTTTGTTTATATCAACGCATGGGGAAACCTTTGGGGTTTCCCATGTAATTATAGACTAATGATAATTCTATTAATAGACAGATTAGCATGTGACCTACAAATCACATGACTTAATCGAAATTAAGGCGAAGATGCTGAATGATGAACATTAGACGCCATTTACTATTATAAATTGCGTCTCCACATTTCTCTGATGCTCTCAGACTTCATCCACACTGAATTGTATTTAACTAATCAAACATGTCGATCAAATTTACTCATCATGCAATAAACTTTGTCAACCAATGTCAAAACTCTCAATTTTTAATCGGAAATGGTGTTTTGAAAGAGAGGCTCTGTGACTGTTCGTTGACTTTCTGGTCACTTTGTGGAAATTCCTTTTCTATTTTTAGAGACTAGTTTGTCGTTGCATAAGTTATCGTTCTTTAAATTACACCCGTAATTTTCGGGTGAATACTAGGTGGCGCTCTGATCGAAAATTGCATTTCCCCAGGCTGTCGATTTGCCGAACATAAGCACAGCCAAATTAACAATTTGTTTATGTTTAAAACAAGCCAGATACTATTAATATTTATAACAAGCCATATAAAATCTCACCTGTCATTCTGGTGACACCACCTAAAGCTGCTGCTGCACCAACCATGGCATATAGTCCTGGAGTTATTGCACAATCCGACTGACACATATTTTTGAACAATGGACTATCTCTGTTAGCTCTGTAATTAAACAGATTTGTAAATAACAAAAGCTGTCATAGGTTAACATACTTAACTTACTATCAGAGTTTGAAAGTCAATTAAAGTCAATCAAATTAAACCAGAAGTTAACAATGGGGTATGTTTCAGTTAATTTCTATTCTAGAGTCATATGCCTTGGCCAGTGACCATAATATTGTAAGGGACTGTGAATGTTTATCAACTGAATTACTTTTAGGACCTTGTAATGGATATATCAGTTTAAAACAAATAATGTTTTATGACAATATGAACATTAAACTAGCATAATTTATTGACAAATGAGGTAATACTTTTCAGTCAATGCTTAAAACTTACCTGCCAGGATTCCTGAACTTGCCTGAGCCATTCATATTTGCTGATTTTATTTGTTTAGATAATTTCCTGATAAATGAAGGAATTAAGACCATGATATAGGACATTCTGAGGCTCTAGGACTATTTAAGGCACTATAAGGAGGTTTATACTTCAAGAAATGATTTATTTACTTACTTTGTTTATCCTGGCATCAAAATGGCCGACAAGAGTTGTCTACCTTGATTCAAAACTTAAAATGACCTTATTTTCATAAACATATACAAATACTTACCATTTTACATGTAAGAACAAAGAATGTAATCTTTATTTACCTAAGACTTAAGTTAATTTCCAAATATTTAGTTGGCCTTGCTGTATTTCATAATAATGTTGATGACCGGTATGACCTCTAAGTTTGTCAGGAGGGAAAATTCAAATTCCTGGCACTTGGAATCTTTTTATATCAATAGTTCATTTTTCTAAACTATAACCATGATTGTTTTTGGTACAGATATTAAGTGCACCAAGTTAGGCATGTAATCCAAGTGTTTATTGCATATTTTGTTATTTGTTAACTTTGTTAATTTACATTTTCTAAATTATTCCTGTCAATATGGCTGCCATTTTAAGAAATCCCTGTCTTTCCTGCCAGACTCATGCCAGGCCAAATGGAATGTTATGATTGGTCAATTGTGACATTCCTGGCCATTTCAGAGTCTATATAAGTAGCCATGACAGGCTGTGTTCAGTTTGCATTTTGGCTTTAAATCCTGACAGTCGCGAAAACTAGTGACAAGAGCATTTTGTAATATTTTCATTGAAACTTTTATTGTTGAATCTAGCAAATTTAGTGCTCTTCAGAGTTGAATAAAGAAATTGTAGAATAAACCTTTTATCAATAAAAGTTGTTATTTGAACAGTTTTTGACTTAGCTTACAATATTGATCCCAAAGACATTTCAAGTTGCAAGGATATATAGTTGGAAGCAAATGTTGCATAAATCAATGTCATTTCAAGAGTAAAATGAACGGTCCATTTCATCTTGGACTAGTCAAATTGACAATGCAGCAGTTAAATAACAAGTTAGATATTTATATCTAATTTATATCTCTTTTAACAAAATTAAAATGAATATACACTGTGAAATTTCATGTTTATATTAGATACTCACATGACTAGTTGTTCCATGCCAATACCAATCAATCGTCCCATGATAGCACCAACTGCCATACTAGGTATGAACAATCCTGATGGTACCTTAAATATACAACAATATAAGTATTACAGCAATTGTGTCTACAGATAAAAATTTCATCACATGAAATAGATAATCATAAGGAAAAACGTTATAAATAATGATATACAAAAGCTGGTTGAAATTGATAATGCTCCCCAAATAGTTATTGGACACAAAAGTATATCTCTTGTAGTCCCGGACAAAGTTCAAAGTGCAATAATTCCAAAATTAGACAAGGCAGAGTTACTGTTCTTTGCACTCAATGATATCTAACTACCGGTTTTGTTTCTTGTTGATACCTCCAGTCATTCTACAGTAATATCCCAGACAAAGTCCACAGTGTAAAATTGAAACAAGAGGGCCATGATGGCCCTGAGGGGCCATGATGGCCCTGAGGTCGCTCACCTGTATATAGGCCCCCACCCCCGGGCCAATTTTTACCCAATGGCTTTTATTTGTTTATTTGAACAAACTTGGTAGACACCCATAAGAAGATGTTTCATGCTAAACATATAAGTTCTAGCTCATTGGGTTTTTTAAAAGAAGATTTTTAAAGTTTTTACAATACACATATAGTTAAAAACAATGACACCCCTGGGGCAGGGCCAGTTTTGACCCCCAGGCTTTTATTTGAACAAACTTTGTAGATATTTACTTAAAGATGTTTCATGCTTGATATCTAAACTCTAGCTATTTGGGTTTTTTCATAGAAGATTTTTAAGTTTTTGCTATACACATATAAGGAAAATCAATGACCCCCCCCCCCCCCTGGGTGTGGGCCAGTTTTGAACCCAGGGCTTTTATTTGAACATACTTGGTAGACATCCATTAGAACATGTTTCATGCTAAATATCTTAGCTCTAGCTCTTTGAGTTCTTTAAAAGAAGATTTTTTAAGTTTTTACTAAATGCATATAGTGAAAATCAATGACCCCCTTGGGCGGGGCCAATTTTGACCCCAGGGCTTTTATTTGAACAAACTTGGTAGACACTCATTAGAAGATGTTTCATGCTAAATATCTTAGCTTTAGCTATTTGGGTTCTTTAAAAGAAGATTTTTTAAGTTTTTACTATATGCATATTGGGAAAATCAATGAACCCCTGGGGCGGGCTCAATTTTGACCCGAGGGGTTTTATTTGAACAAACTTGGTAGACATTCACTAGAAGATGTTTCATGCCAAATATCTAAGCTCTAGCTTTTATGGTTCTTTAAAAGAAGATTTTTTAAGTTTTTACTATATGCATATAGGGAAAATCAATGACCCCCGGGGCGGGGCCAATTTTGACCCCAGGGCTTTAATTTGAACAAACTTGGTAGACACTCACTAGAAGATGTTTCATGCCAAATATCTAAGCTCTAGCTCTTTAATACGGTTCTTTAAAAGAAGATTTTAAGTTTTTACTATATGCATATAGGGAAAATCAATAACCCCCTGAGGCGGGGCCAATTTTGACCCCAGGGCTTTTATTTGAACAAACTTGGTAGACACTCACTAGAAGATGTTTCATGCCAAAAATCTAAGCTCTAGCTCTTAGGGTTGTTTAAAAGAAGATATTTAAAGATTTTTCTTTCGGTTGCCATGGCAACCAGAGTTCTGCATGGAATTAAATTCTTTGAACAATTTTTAAAGGTGACCACCAAAGGGACATTCCTGTGAAGTTTGGATGAAATTGGCTCAGTGGTTTATGAGGAGATGTCATTTAAAGCAAACGTTTACGGACGGACGACCGATGGACGGACGGACGCCGTACGAAAAGCGATCACAAAAGCTCAGCCTGTCACTTTGTGACAGGTGAGCTAAAAAGGCACTAACTCCAAAATAAGCAAGGCAGAGTTACTGTTTTTTTTGCATTCTATTAATAATATAAGTGACAAACTTTGATTCTTCTATTATCTGCTGCATAGTTTTTTTGGGGTCAAAAAGCCATGAAAAAAATGAAATAACCAATAAACAATTTTTATATGTTACAGTTTATAGTTATTTTAGACACTTCCTACTTATTACTTATCATTTTAACGTTTATTTGTTATTTATCGAATATGTCAGCCATATAAGATTAAATTGTCATTCTTATTAAGCAGGTGGATTTAGCCCTAATATAACCATTTTTCATCAGAGGTGTCATAATATTTTAATCCTTCAGGATCTGAATATTTGAATGTTATGTTTTTTAAAATACAATACCGCTCATGGTGGTGAATATTTCTTTAAAGTATCATAAAAATTCTTCCATGCATGTAGGAGATATGCATAAGACAACATCTTAATATTTCATCACCTTAACATATTTTTCTGTTTTAAGTGCCCCATTTGATATGTGTAATAAAGTATGATTATTTGTTTTAGCACTCGCACCTCAGTGGAATTCCTTTAAAGTATGGTATAACAGTATATGCATAGGTATGGTTTTTGTGTTTATAAACAGTCAAAAATTTAACCAATACATGCATATAACGACGACCCTGTAAGTCAATAATAATATGCTTTAAGTTTAAAATAAATCTAAGTTAAACTTGTCTATTGATCTTTTTAAATATTCTTTCAATCTTAAACATAAATTGTATCACCATATTTATCAATCTTTACATTTGTTTAATTAAACAATTGTAGTATTATCATTGGGGGTATATTGTTTCATATTACCATTTAAACAATCAGACACGCCATAACTATCAAACTTGTTTACACCCGTTACCACGGGTAGAAGAAATAAAATATTCAAGACTGAAGGAAGACATATTTGTGTTTTCAAATCTTTATTCTTAATATAAAACACAGCAATTAATTAAAAACTGTTTGAATATAAACTCTTGTTGAAAGTTTAAAGGTATGTTAGTTTGATTTCTTATCTGTTTATTATGTAAACTAGATATGTTAAAATAACTAGATTTGTCACTGTTTATTTCCTATTTGGTCAAATGTCATTCAAAGTTAAAAGCACAATTTTGTAGTTTATATAAAATTGTCAACTTAAATCAACTGCATGAAAAGTTTATCTCTTTTATATGAATAAAACTACATATTCTTAAAAAACTTGATATTTTTAAATGAAATTATATAAATTTTGTAGATGTCAACGAAGGGAATTTTGCTTCATGTAAAATATCTAAGCTTTAGAATAAATATAATATTTTTTAGGCATATGGAAATATGTTGTTATAACTTCTTTGATTCAAAACTTTTAAAATTCAGCAATTCAAAAATGCATTGGGCTAAACTTATCATATTGGTATTTCTCAATCCTATGAACAAATATATCAGTCTTTCAATTAGAGAAAGACTGATTACATTATATAGCAAAACAGTATTCATGTCCAAAATTTTGATAAATTACCTTTAAAAAAAAAGACATTTTATATGCAATGGCTCATTTACAATTTTGAATTAAGAAGTTTGAATCTGTTTCCTGCACACCGTCTTAATATAAGTAATTTTCCTGCCAAAGTTTTAAGTTTTGCGCACCGTCTTAATATAAGTGATACTTGCAACTAGAAATGACAGTTGTCACGCCACGGATGCCCCCGCATGCAGCCAAATTTTCATATGTTATAATATTTATGACATATCCATATCTTTAATTTGAGTTGAATATGTACAACTGTTGGGGAGATAATGAATGGGAACTGAAAATTTCCTCTTTTTTTTCAAAGTTAAAGGGGAAGTACTCTTCCAAAAATCATGGAACCATGACAAAATTCAAACTTGACGTGGGCAATTCTTAGACGTATCCATGTGTGAAATTTGAGTTGAATGTGTAATACCCAAGAGGAGATAATGAACGGAAACTGAAAATTTCATATTATTTCCAAAGTGAAAGGGACATAACTCTGCCAAAATCATCAAACCATGACCAAATTCGAACTTGACCTACAAATTCCTTTGACATATCCATATATTCAATTTGAGTTGAATGTGTTATACTGTTGGGGAGATACTGAACGGAAACTGAAAATTTTATATTATTTTCAGTTTTGTTTGTTTTTGTTTGTTTGTTTCATTTTACGCCTGTTCTCAACAGTATTTCAGTCATATAGGCGGGTAGTTTCCTAACAATCGTTCCTGGAGTGTTACACCAGTACTAGACTACCTTCCTCCGCGCTAAACTACCAAAGTATCTCCCGGGGATCGAACCCACGCCAGAGAGGTAACTGGATTAGACGTCATCGACTCAAACCCCCTCAACCACGGAGGCGGTTGAAAGGGGTATAACTCTGCCAAAAATCATTGAACCATGACCAAATTCAAAACTTGACCTGCCCATTCCTTTGACGTATCCATATGTCAAGTTTGAGTTGAATGTGTAATACTGTTGAGGAGATAATTAGCGGAAACTGAAAATTTCATATTACTTTCATAGTAAAAGGGGCATAACTCTGCTAAAAATCATCAAACCATGACCAAATTCGAACTTGACCTGTATTTTCTTATGACATATCCATATGTCAAGTTTGATTTGAATGTGTAATACTGTTGGGGAGATAATGAATGGTAACTGAAAATTTCATATTATTTTCAAAGTAAAAGGATCATAATTCTGCCAAAAATCATCAAACCATGACCAAATTCAAAATTTGACCTGTATTTTCTCATGACATATCCATATTTAAGTTTGAGTTGAATGTGTAATACTGTTGGGGAGATAATGAACAGAAACTGTAAATTTCATATTATTTTCAAAGTAAAAGGGGCATAACTCTGCCAAAAACCATTGAACCATGACCAAATCGGAACTTGACCTGTATTTTCTTATGACATAAACATATGTCAAGTTTGAGTTGAATGTGTGCAACCGTACTTAGAAAATGAATGGAAATTGATGATGACGGAATGACAGAATGATAGAAAGAAGGGTCAGGACGGAAGGAAGGAACAGGGTAACACTATATGTCCCAGCCATGATATGGTGGGGGCATAAAAAAGTTTTAATTTCTTTTTATCTGTTCTTAAGATACAGAGCCGACAAAAATTTTGATACTGAAACAAAAAAACTAAATGTAACCTTGACCTGAGAAAGGTGAAACCTGCACTCGTCTCATTATAATTAATATTTCTGCCAAGTAGCCATTCAATTTCTTTTCACTGGTTCCAAAGATACAGACTGGACACGCAAACACCTATATAAGTCTATATAAATAAATTATTCTAACATGACCCGCATTTTTCCCTATTGAAAATAGAAGAACAGAAAGTGTGTGTTATTATGCATCAGATGCACACTTTGACGTTCTATATTTAGACATGTGACGTAGTCATTACACACGTGCCGTAACAACTAAAAATCCGACGCGAAGAAAATAAGTTCGGAAACAAATCAGGCGCAATTTTGCTTAACTATCATGTACCGCAACATTTATTTGTTAATGTCGTGTTAGAATCGAAATAATATATCCAAAATCAGTGATTTTATCGCTTGATGACATCACTGTTTGTCGTTCGGATGCGCATCATTATATCACTCGGGCTACGCCCTCGTGATATAATTCCTCGAATCCGAACTCCAAACAGTGATGTTATTGAGCGATAAAATCACTGTTTGGGATATATTATTTCTTAAATCTCCAGGGTGGGGCCCATTTTAATTGTAGGAAATCAAAAATCCAAACTTGTGTTCTGCACATCGTCTTGATATAATTAATATTTCTGCCAAAAAGTTTTAATTTCCTTCTATCAGTTCAAAAGATATAGAGCGGACAAGCAAGGTGCATGTAACAATATATGCTGAAATTCTTTTGGGCATATAAAAATGACTTCCTAATATTTAATAACATGCAAAACGGTTTTGATCCATTTCAGACATGTTTGATTTTCAAGAATTTTTAAGCTCAGACTCCTTAAAGATATACTATGCTCAAATTTGATTTTTAAAAATGTTCATTATTGCTACACAGTCTATTTGTATGTACATGTATAAAATAAACATGTTTTGACTTCATTTAAAGTAGATATGTTATGTTTTAAACTCTACACTATAGGTGGTCACAATATGAATATATAGTGTCATTAAAAAAACTGGCAGTTTTTTTTAAGAAGAGACCAACTTAACTCAATGACCTGTAATAGGGAATGCAGCTTCACATACATAGTTTAGTCATTATTTTATTCAAATTAAACATACTCTGTAAGAATTTCATGGATTTCAATACATTTCTAAGATAACAAGATATGTTTGTAAAACATGTATGCCCCCTATCAGCAGCCAATAAGTCATGTGATAAGGTTATTATGCATGACTTCTGACCCAGTGATCAAACAATTAATAAGGGTTATCAAGTATCTACTGGTCATGACCTTAACCTTTGACCCCTTGACCCAAAACTCAATAGGGGTCATCTGCTGGTCATGACCAATCATCATACAAAGTTTGAAGTTCCTAGGCCTAAGCGTTTTTAGTTAATTGATCAGAAACCGCTTTTACCTACAAGGTCAATGTGACCTTGACCTTTGACCACTTGACCCCAAAATCAATAGGTCATCTGCTGGTCATGACCAATCACTATACCAAGTTTGAAATTCCTAGGCCTAAGGGTTCTTTAGTTATTGATCGGAAACCGTTTTAACATACATGGTCAATGTGACCTTGACCTTTGACCCTAAAATCAATAGGGGTCATCTGCTGCTCATGACCAATCACCATACCAAGTTTGAAGTTCCTAGGCCGAAGCGTTCTTTAATTATTGATCAGAAACCGTTTTTTACTTACAATGTCAATGTGACCTTGACCTTTGACCCCTTGATCCAAAATCAATAGGGGTAATCTGCTGGTCATGACAAATCACCATGCCAAGTTTGAAGTTCCTAGGCCTAAGCGTTCTTAAGTTATTGATCAGAAACTGTTTTTACTTACAAGGTCAATGTGACCTTGACCTTTGACCCCTTGACCCAAAACTCAATAGGGGTCATCTGCTGGCCACGAACAATCATCATACAAAGTTTGAAGTTCCTAGGCCTAAGCGTTTTTAGTTAATTGATCGGAAACCGTTTTTACCTACAATGTCAATGTGACCTTGACCTTTGACCCCTTGACCCCAAAATCAAAAGGTCATCTGCTGGTCATGACCAATCACCATACCAAGTTTGAAGTTCCTAGGCCTAAGGGTTCTTAAGTTATTGATTGGAAAGCATTTTTACCTACAAGGTCAATGTGACCTTGCCCTTTGACCCCTTAACCCCAATATCAATAGGGCTCATCTGCTGGTCATGACCAATCACCATACCAAGTTTGAAGTTCCTAGGCCTAAGGGTTCTTTAGTTATTGATCGGAAACCGTTTTTACCTAAGAGGTCAATGTGACCTTGACCTTTGACCCCTTGACCCCAAAATCAATAGGGGTCATCTACTGATCATGACCTATCACCATATCAAGTTTGAAGTCCCTAGGCCTAAGGGTTCTTTTGTTATTGATCGGAAACCGTTTTTACCCAAGAGGTCAATGTGACCTTGACCTTTGACCGCTTAACCCCAAAATCAATAGGGGTCATCTGCTGGTCATAACCAATCACCATACCAACTTTGAAGTTCCTAGGCCTAAAAGTTCTTTAGTTATTGATCGGAAACTGTTTTTGCTTACAAGGTCAATGTGACCTTGACCTTTGACCCCTTGACCCCAAAATCAATAGGGGTCATCTACTGATCATGACCAATCACCATACCAAGTTTGAAGTTCCTAGGCCTTAAAGTTCTTTAGTTATTGATCTGAAAAACCGTTTTTCCTTACAAGGTCAATGTGAACTTGACCTTTGACCCCTTGACCCCAAAATCAATAGGGGTCATCTACTGATCATGACCAATCAACATACCAAGTTTGAAGTTCCTAGGCCTAAAGGTTCTTTAGTTATTGATCGGAAACCGTTTTTGCTTACAAGGTCAATGTGACCTTGACCCTTTGACCTCTTGACCCCAAAATCAATAGGGGTCATCTACTAATCATGACCAATCACCATACCAAGTTTGAAGTTCCTAGGCCTTAAGGTTCTTTAGTTATTGATCGGAAACCGTTTTTGCTTACAAGGTCAATGTGACCTTGACCTTTGACCCCTTGACCCCAAAATCAATAGGGGTCATTTACTGATCATGACCAATCACCATACCAAGTTTGAAGTTCCTAGGCCTTAAGGTTCTTTAGTTATTGATCGGAAACCGTTTTTGCTTACAAGGTCAATGTGACCTTGACCTTTGACCCCTTGACCCCAAAATCAATAGGGGTCATCTACTTGTCATGACCAATCACCATACCAAGTTTGAAGTTCCTAGGCCTAAGGGTTCTTTAGTTATCACTCGGAAACCATTTGGTCTACGGACCGACGGACCGACAAGTGCAAAGCAATATACCCCCTTTTCTTCGAAATGGGGGCATAAAAATATTTTACCCAAAGATAAGCATAGTATATCTTTAATGTTTTTTTTTTACTTGTCCCTGACGTATCAGTAGTGATGCTTTCTGTTGTGCATTTTTCATTTGAAATAAACAATTTATGTCTAATTACAACAATTAATTCATTTAAAAGCAGATCAAGTTCAATGACAATTTTAACTGCTGATCAAGTTCAATGTCAAGTTCAATGTCAATTTTAAATGATGATTAATTTTAATGTCAATTTTAACTGCAGATCATTGTCAATTTTAAATCCTGATCAAGTTCAATGTGAATTTTAACTGCTGATTAGGTTCAATGTGAATTTTAACTGCTGATCAAGACCAAAGTCAATTTTAACTGCTGATCAAGTTCAATGTGAATTTTAACTGCTTATCAAGCTCAAGGTCAATTTTTACTGCTGATCAAGCTCAAGGTCAATCAAGCCCAATGTCAATTTTAACTGCTGATCAAGTTCAATGTCAATTTTAACTGCTGATCAAGTTCAATGTCAATTTTAACTGCTGATCAAGCTCAATGTCAATTTTAACTGCTGATCAGGTTCAATGTCAATTTTTACTGCTGATCAAGTTCAAGGTCAATTTTAACTGCTGATCAAGCTCAAGGTCAATTTTAACTGCTGATCAAGCTCAAGGCCAATTCAAAGCCGCCTTAATATCAACAGATTAGCGTATACAATATCACAGTAGGGGCGGAGCTTTGATTTGCTTTATCAATTTTTTTGAAAAATCACATGTATACTTCATTTGCATATGCTCTGGTTTTTGAAATTTATGTTTTTCTCACATGTATTTGGGTTTTGATTGTTGAAACTTCTGATCTCATGAGGCACTGATCTTTAATCACAAACACTTGACAGGTAAAAGAAGTCGCTCAATGAAAGATTGATCACAATAAACTGAGCTTGTGAGACTGTATCTTCAAAGAGACAAACATTCCTGCAATTCCTGTTTTCCTAACACTTAAATGCAACACATGTCTTACTGTACAAAGTATTCATTTTAAACTGTTATTAAATCTCAAAATCATTAAACATGGTAATTCATTTATTTAGTTTTTTTTTATGTTTCAGTGAAATCATGGCTGTCCCAGGTAAAAAAGCCACCAAACAATTTTCATCTTCAACAACTTCTATGGGTTCTGATGAAGATCTCAAAGTGTACTGTCAGCCATGTGATCGAGATGGACCTAGACTTCCTGCCCATGGCTATTGCACAAACTGTGCAGAGCATTTGTGTGAAACATGCTTTACCCTCCACAGGAGACACACATTGTCAAGACACCATACTTTACTAGACAAAACCAACATGCCTCAGACTCTGTCACCTGCAACACCAAGACAACCAGATAACTTCACAAAACCATGTCCTAAACACAACATTGAGATGATCAAGTTTTACTGCCATGATCATAAGGCTCTACTTTGTAGTGTTTGTGTTACACTTGAGCATACAGCAACATCTTGCAAAGTCAACTATATACCGGACATTTCAGGCCAGACCATCAATGGCACAGAATATCAGGACGTTTTGAAGGAATTAAACAACATGGCTGAGAGATCAAGCAAAATACTTCAAAACATGAAGAAACTGAATGAGGTATCAAACAAGTCTTTGACAGAAGCATTGACAGGCATATTGAAATTCCGAAAAGAAATTAACCAAAGACTAGATGAATTGGAAAGACATGTTAAGGAGGCTGCAAAAGTCATCCAAGAGGACAATAGCAAGAATCTGAAGACTGTAGAAACAGCATGTGGAGATGTACTTAAATCATTAAAGTCATCCTCTGATGTCATTAAACATCTCAACACTTCCAAACAAGCCAATGATTTGTTCATGGAACTAAAACATGCAGAACAGATGATAAAAGATTATGAACAGAGTGTTTCTAAGCTCTCAGAATATGAAGTCAAAGAGTATAAATTTGAACCAAATGAGGCAATATCAAATCTTCTTGCGAAAGAAAAGCAACTGGGGACACTGAAAGGTAGGCTATTATCCCCTGCTTTGAGGTCCAGACAATGTTTACATGTGGATAAAATCGGTATCAAAACATCACAAGACGGAAATCATTGCTTTATAACAGGAATGACTCTCCATACTCCTGATCTTCTTATCATCACAGATTATGCAAACATGGCCATTAAAATAGTTGATATCAGTATAAAGTCTGTACAAGCTCGGCATAACTTTGATAGTGAACCTTATGATGTCACAACAGTTACACAAAATGAAGTTGCTGTCACATTGCCATTTCGTAAAACTATTCAGTTCTTTTCTGTTTCTAGAAAAAATCTCCAGAAGAAGCACACTCTACAGGTTGACGGAAAATGTTTTGGTATAAGCTGTCATAAAGATAAAATGGTGGTGTCATATCTCAATCCAGCTAAAATTCAAATCCTTCTTATCAATGGCACTGTATTACAGACAATACAAGATGAAAATATTTTAAAAAATCCAAACAATATTACAACAAGTGACAATTATATCTTTGTATCTGATTATTTATTAAAAACAGTTGCCAAGTTAAACTGGCAGTGTGAGGTGACAGGTAAATATGTTTGTACAGCCGGTCCACAAGGCTTGACAATGTCAGACGATGGGACTGTGTTTGTTTGTATAGACAACAATACCATAGAAGAGATATCAGGAGACTGTAGTGAAGGACAAGTTGTTGTAAAGGATATAGAATACCCTCAAGCTGTCTACTGGTCTGCTGAAACATGTACATTGTACACAAGCAGCAGGGTTACTCCAGAATGTGACTTTATAAAACTCTTCAAACTGTCTAAATAATGAAAGAAATTTTTCTTCAGAGACAGACACGATATTAACAAACATAAAGGCATTAACTTTTGTATGATAGATGGTGCTTATTATTGGTACTGATTAAGAACTAGTGACTGTTTTATTTATAGTAACTCTGTAAACAATAAACTATTTCTTTATTTCTGTAAACAATAAACTATTTCTTTATTTCTGTAAACAATAAACTATTTCTCACTGGAAACAATTACAATATTAAAGTTTCCATCATCCAGATTGGTAAAGCATAAACACCCTTGGTGAGCTTATAACAAGCTTATAGCAACAGCGAGCCACCATCATTTAACATACTTGCACACAAGTAGTTTCAGCTATCTTACATAAATTTGAACTGTGACAGTTGTTGTCTAAATGTTGTTTTTTTTTACTGCTTTTTTGTTTTTGTTTTTTGGGTTTTTTTTTTGTTAAAAACTTTTACTTCACAAACTGGTGTATCTTTTCACTTCTGGACTAGTGGCTTAAACAATCCATTGTCACAATATACATTCAGAGAATAAACTAATATCTGACACCAAAATCAATCTGATGAAATCAGCTCTGAACTAATGCTAAGCAACTACAATCTAAGTGTTGAGCATAATTTTTCGTCTGCTCAACTCCACTTAATTCTCCTGCAAACTGGGCTGTCCAGCTTTTTATATCATCAGTCAACAACCATTTTCACAATCATAAATATAAAGAGTAACTTAGGCTTACACTTAATGTGATTAATATCTCCACCAGAAACTTTGACTTTTTTGAAGAAAACATATAATTTATGAAGTATCAACTGTGTACAAAGAATTTCAATTAATTGCAATGCCAACCAGGATCTTTATATAAACTTGCTTTTATACTAAATTTGAGAGTAATATCTTATTCCTCCTAACTCTAGATATTGCCTGAAAACCATTTTTCTATTTTTTTAAAAATAGTTACTTGAACCCAGGGGGTCCAAGTGCAACATCAACTGGGGTCTTTATATAAGCTTGGTTTAAACCAAGTTTAACTACAATATCTCATTCCAAACTCTAGTTATTGTCTGGAAACAAATTTTCTGTTTTCGGCAACAGTGACCTTGACCTTGACCAAAGGGGGTCCAAATGCAATACCATTCGAGGTCTTCATATAAGCTTGCTATAAGCCTAATTTGATTACAATATCTTATTCCTAACTCAAGTTATTGTCCAGAAACCATTTTTCTATTTTAGTAATGGTGACCTTAAACTTCGCCCAGGGGTCCAAATGAAATACCAACCAGAGTTTCCACACTAGGTTGCTATATACCAAGTTTGCAATATCTCATTCCAAACTCTAGTTATCGTCCTAAAACCAAAGACCAAAAATCCTACCTGCAAGCAGACACCTATAATTATACCCCATAAACTTCATTTGTGGAGATATAATAATAGAAACTGCAATCAATCATCTTTACATACTGACCAATGATTGTACATTTTTATACATGCATATTGTTAATAGCTTTACTATATATATGTGTCATAATTAACAAATCATACATTAATTATATAATAAATCTTCTTTGCTCTAAAACCGTGTGCGTCATTCATTTGAATCATAAAAAATATATGTACAATCAACCAAAGATTTATGTGATTCAATCCTGCCCAATTAAAGTTGAGACTACTTTTTCCAGTTTATTTGTCAAATTACTTCAAACGTTTTTTCTCTGACTAAAATCAACAATTTGTTTTACTTCCACAGCCAGACATATTTTGGACATTCTGTAAAGAACAGTTTGATTGCATGGCTAAATAATAAAAAAAAATAGCTTTCTTGAAATCCAAATCAAAATGAAGGTGAAACAAATACGGTGGCAATCAGATCTACATGCAAGATATAACTTAAGTAGATCTGAATATTTGTCAGATTGTGTTTGGGCTAGAGTTAAGACAATAACATAATATCTGTCACAATCTTACCTTCATACCAAATGTGAACACAGTAATTATTCCCTTGAATAAAAGAGCCAGGACAAGTTGCCATATTGCTCTTTTTACACCATCCCCAGCAAATGTACTTGACATGTATGACTTTGGATCCGTAAAATTTCTTTGATAATCACTGAAATAGCAATATATGAAAGCTGTATTGTTTGGTAGTAAGTGCTCATGATTTTCTTGCAAGACAGCTTGTAAGTTGACAAGTTTATAGAACTATAATTTAACTAGAACTGCCACTATCATGGTGGAATACCCCCGCATATCACTTTGTCAGAATCAACAGTGGCCATTTAGAACTCAAGGACAACCTCCCTGCCAAATCTGAGGTTACTAAGCCAGTGCATTGCTAAGTTTTATATTCTACATGCTTCAAATGTCAAAATCAATACACTCTGGACAGGCATTCTGAAGCAATTGAGGGGAAAAGCTTTATTTTGACAAGGTCCCTGTGACCTTGACCTTTGACCCAGTGACCTCAAAATCAATAGGGGTCATCTACTAATCATGACTAACCTCCATGCAAAATATGAAGACTGTGGGTCATAGGAACCTTAAGTTATTGTGTGGACAAGCTTTTTGAAGTCAAGGCCCCTGTGCCCTTGACCTTTGACCCGGTGACCTCAAAATCAATAGGGGTCATCTACTAATCATGACTAACATCCATGCCAAATATGAAGACTGTGGGTCAAAGGAACCTTAAGTTATTGGGCGGACAAGCTTTTTGAAGTCAAGGCCCCTGTGACCTTGACCTTTGACCCGGTGATCTCAAAATCGATAGGGGTCATCTACTAATCATGACTAACCTCCATGCCAAATATGAAGACTGTGGGTCATAGGAATCTGAAGTTATTGGGCGGAAAAGCTTTTTGATGTCAAGGCCCCTGTGACCTTGACCTTTGACCTGGTGACCTCAAAATCAATAGGGGTCATCTACTAATCATGACTAACCTCCATGCCAAATATGAAGACTGTGGGTCATAGGAATCTTAAGTTATTGGGCGGAAAAGCTTTTTGAAGTCAAGGCCCCTGTGACCTTGACCTTTGGGCTGGTGACCTCAAAATCAATAGGGGTCATCTACTTATCATGACTAACCTCCATGCCAAATATGAAGACTGTGGGTCAAAGGAATCTTAAGTTATTGGGCAGACAAGCTTTTTGAAGTCAATGCCCCTGTGACCTTGACCTTTGACCTGGTGACTTCAAAATCAATAGGGGTCATCTACTAAGCATGACTAACCTCCATGCCAAATATAAAGACTGTGGGTCAAAGGAATCTTAAGTTATTGGGGGGACAAGATTTTTGAAGTCAAGGCCCCTGTGACCTTGACTTTTGACTTTGTGACCTCAAAATCGATAGGGGTCATCTACTAATCATGACTAACCTCCATGCCAAATATGAAGACTATGGTACAAACGAATCTTAAGATTTTTGGCAGACAAGAAACAAGAGGGCCATGATGGCCCTGAGGTCGCTCACCTGTATATGGCCCCCCCCCCACCCGGGCCAATTTTTACCCAAGGGCTTTATTTGTTTATTTAAACAGACTTAGTAGACACCCATAAGAAAATGTTTCATGCTAAACATCTAAGTTCTTGCTCATTGGGTTTTTAAAAGAAGATTTTTAAAGTTTTTACTATACACATATAGTTAAAAACAATGACACCCCTGGGGCAGGGCCAGTTTTGACCCCCGGGCTTTTATTTGAACAAACTTTGTAGATATTTACTTAAAGATGTTTCATGCTTTATTATCTAAACTCTAGCTATTTGGGTTTTTTCAAAGAAGATTTTTAAGTTTTTGCTATACACAGATAAGGAAAATCAATGACCCCCCCCGGGGCGGGGCCAGTTTTGACCCCAGGGCTTTTATTTGAACATACTTGGTAGACACCCATTAGAACATCTTTCATGCTAAATATCTTAGCTCTAGCTTATTGAGTTCTTTAAAAGAGGATTTTTTAAGTTTTTACTACATGCATATAGGGATAATCATTGACCCCTGGGCTGGGCCAATTTTGACCCCAGGGCTTTTATTTGAACAAACTTGGTAGACACTCACTAGAAGATGTTTCATGCTAAATATCTTAGCTCTAGCTCTTTGGGTTCTTTAAAAGAAGATTTTTAAGTTTTTACTATATGCATATAGGGAAAATCAATGACCCCCTGGGGCGGGGCCAATTTTGACCCCAGGGTTTTAATTTGAACAAACTTGGTAGACACTCACTAGAAGATGTTTCATGCTTAATATCTTACCTCTAGCTCTTTGGGTTCTTTAAAGAAGATTTTTTTAAGTTTTTACTATATGCATATAGGGAAAATCAATGACCCCCTGGGGCAGGGCCAATTTTGACCCCAGGGCTTTTATTTGAACAAACTTGGTAGACATTCACTACAAGATGTTTCATGCTTAATATCTAAGCTCTAGCTCTTACGGTTCTTTAAAAGAAGATTTTTTAAGTTTTTACTATATGCATATAGGGAAAATCAATGACCCCCCGGGGCGGGGCCAATTTTCACCCAGGGCTTTTATTTGAACAAACTTGGTAGACACTCACTAGAAGATGTTTCATGCCAAATATCTTAGCTCTAGCTTTTACGGTTCTTTAAAAGAAGATTTTTTAAGTTTTACTATATGCATATAGGGAAAATCAATGACCCCTGGGCGGGGCTAATTTTGACCCCAGGGCTTTTATTTGAACAAACTTGGTAGACACTCACTAGAAGATATTTCATGCCAAATATCTAAGCTCTAGCTCTTAGGGTTGTTTAAAAGAAGATATTTAAAGATTTTTCTTTCGGTTGCCATGGCAACCAGAGTTCTACATGGAATTAAATTCTTTGAACAATTTTTAAAGGTGACCACCAAAGGAACATTCCTGTGAAGTTTGGATGAAATTGGCTCAGTGGTTTATGAGGAGATGTCATTTAAAGCAAAAGTTTACGGACGGACGACGGACGGACGGACGGACGCCGGACGAAAAGCGATCACAAAAGCTCACCCTGTCACTTTGTGACAGGTGAGCTAAAAACCGACAGATCAGCTCATAAACACCACCTGGACCAACATCCATAATCAAAATAAGCTCATAAAAACAAAAAAATAGCTCTTAATTTGAATTTTATGAGTTTTTGTTCTTTATTTAACTACGGAATGAAGCTCATAATAATCAAATGTTTGCTCGGCCGGACAGCCGGAGGGACAAGCTGATTCCAGTATACCCCCGTTACAACTTTGTTGTGCGGGGGTATATTATAGTTATGCATATTTAAAGAATCTACACTGAGCTCCAAAAGGCTCAAATATAAAGTTTGAAATCAAACATAATTCAACTCAGGCACTCATAACTGAAAAAATTGAAAATGAAGAGCTCTAGCTTTTTGGGTTTTTAAGAGTTTTTTTTTTAGTTTTTACTTTATACATACAGAAATATATAAAGAAAAAAAAATGACTGTCCTTGGGCGGGGCCAATTTTGATCCCAGGGCTTTTAATTGAACAAACTTGGTAGACACGCACTAGAAGATGTTTCATGCGAAAAATCTCAGCTCTAGCTCTTTGGG